ATTGGTATAAATTAGTTTACTTTTCGCACAAATATTTTTTAACTTGAAAATGGTGCCAGGATGACACCGAAACGTCGTTGCTCAGTTTTTTCGCTAATCCGTTTCATTTCTTTAGAAAAAAAATCTTCCATATTTTTAATAAAATGTTTTTCTTTAACGACGGTTGTCGATGAAAACTCAACCTAAGCCAAAGAAATTAACTTTTCTCTGGCAATTGATTGATAAATTTACGCAATCGCTTGAAGATCCAACCAACCCCGTGAAGATCTAGTCTCCTGCGCAGCGTTTGAAAAACGTTTCCTCATACCGACATGCGTATGGAGAGGGAAAGTTGGGAATTGAACTAATTTTAACTTTCATTTAATTTTGTCTGTGAGAATTCCAGCGGCCTTTTACGGGGTTCGCTGGAAAGAACGTCCTCTATTTAGCGCTTCTTCATCTAGAATCTAGTTTCTTTGTAATATATAAAATGTCGGCAAGTGATGGCGTCATAAACTGAACCAAATTTTGATCAAATATGATGAGGCTGGAGAGATATCTGTTTGACTCTTCAGTGCTGTAAGATGCTATACTCAATGTGCTCCACAATATGAGCTTAACAGTTTTGCTACCATAGAAACATACTGGGCTCCAGACCTCCCCAATGTCAAAGGCTTTTCTGGCAACTTTTGGCATGCCATTTTGATATTTGCTAATGGTGCCTCATCTGCATGATCCAAACAGCATATAAATATGTCAGGTCGAATTCGCGGCCTCGTTTAATGATTTTCGAGCTGAAAATCACTAACATATCGAAATCAAGAGGATGGGGACTGGAAAAGAATGAGTTGCCATGGGAACACATGGTGCAGTAGGTGTGTTGCCTGTAGAACTATCAGCCCACCAAGTTTCAGTGGTCCGTGCTGCAAATTGACCAAGATAGATTTCTGTATATACTTGATATAATATTGGGTTGAGTGTATGAGGTCATTAGTCATCTCATTTGCATATGTTACGCACTTAAAACTTGAATATCTCTGGAACGAATGCAGATATTTGCAAACGGTAAACGGCGTCTTTATTCTTTTGTGGAATTCTATGTGATACACCTAAAAAATTGAGGGGTTAAAATTTGATCATAGTACCACTTTAAGGGAAAACTTGTTTTTGGTGCAGGATAAAATAGTCGTGCGATATTTCAGAGTATTAAGAAAATCTATTTCAGTCCTGATCAAATTATACCTCCTCCTTATATTATATTCTTATGCAGCTGATACTTTAGAGGGAAAACTTGAATTTATTCATATTCTATCGAGCACGATTATTTTGCGGAATTCCCAACCATATTTCCAGTTACCTTGGTTAATCTTCTTACGAGTGTCAATCGACCTAATGAAATAAAATCGAGGTCTAG